TATTGTGTAGCATTTCGCATATTTTTTTACCCTTGCGATGATTAATCAATTTAGTTTGTTAAATAAATATATTGCCTGTTATATCGTCTAGATTATTTACGTTAAATGTTTATATTCTTTTTATTATTTTTAAATCGAAAAAAAAGATGGTGCAAAAGAGAGAGGTGCAATGGTGCATACGCTCGTATTGAAATTGCCGCCATATTTATAATTTCGCGCGCAATACCATTTTATATCTGGTCTTTCATTTCCGGTTTATACTTACGCATCGTTCACATGTTAACGTTGTGCTAAATTTTTACGAAACAAAACCATAATTCATATTAATTGCAATCAAAATTTATCTAATATAAATAATTTAATGTTTAATTTATTATAAATATTTCAAAATAAATTCGTTATTTAACCTCTTAGTTTTCGTTAAATTGAAATTAATGATCATACTACTTCTTCCTTTGAAAGTCTAATGTGACAATTTCTGTTTCAAAGGAGGAACATTTTTATCATTCTTGATATAAATTAATAATAAATAAGAATATTATTAATGATGTAAGTTTTACAATATCATAATTCGATTACACACTAAAGAAAATAAAAATAAAAAAAAGAAATAAAAAAGTACACACAAAGAAAATAAAAACATCCATGACTTCAATTCCCCTATATAGAATCTACGATAGATATAGGACATTTATATATTTCCAGTTACAGTTTACCTACACTGCGATATGCTTACATTAGGCGCTACAAACTTTTGTAGCAAATGCGCGAGTCCTTTACCATTTCTAAAATGTTTTTTTTCGCGGAACGTCAATGAAAGTGATTTATTTACAAAATGCAGTGTATGAACGTTTAAATATCTCTGTAATGATCTTATTATCTTATATTTATACACAGGTATACACCCTTTTCTTAAATTCTTCGTATAAAATATTAGCTGCTGTCAGATTAAGAAATGAAAAATCCAAATGTTTATCTTCGTACAATATTTTAAGATTTTACAATTTAAAAGAATAAAAATTCGTCATAATCGTATCAATTGTCACTTTGACGTTAATTATTAAATTGTTGAAAAACATTGTAACCTCTAACATTCACTTGATTTTCTTCCTAATTCTTGACATAAAGTAATGTATAGGAAGAGTAATAAGAAGTACATATATCTCCTCTAACGATATTTTCATTGTATTTCATTTCTTTACTTTTATAAAAGATGTAATTTATTATTAATATGTGCTCTCTTAGGAAAGCAGCTATGAATACAAGTCTAAGTTCTACGGATGGTGGCGGTGATAAACGTTTGCCTGAGACTACTGTGCAAACTATAGCGCAAAACTTAACTACAATGCAAAATATACAAAGCATACAGAATGTACAAAGTGTGGTTCAAAGTAATATACAAAGTATTCAGCCTACGCAAACTATTGTTGGAACAGTTGGGACTCCTACTGGTCTCGTTGGTAAATCAGTATCATTGGATATTAATCCAAAGTTATCTTTAATGAAGCCTGTAATTCCATCTGGTACAACATCTAATGCAGAAACAAATAAAATCACAACAACGGTAAATTTTTCTTTCTTATCTATATCTATAAATTCTTTTAAATTAAATGTTTATATTAACAGAAAATTTTTTGTGTTTACTTTATAGCTCTGTTCTGTAGGTTCTACAGTAAGAATTATATCACCAGGTATGTTGAGTACTGTAGAACGTCAAAATCAACAACAAGGTCAACAGTTACCCCAACAAAGTCAGCAAATTACTAATATACCGGCTACGTATCATGTACCTAGAGGACCAGCGGCAGTTGCAAATATTTCTGCTCCAAGATCAACAGTTGCTACTCCAATTGTTAGAGCTAATGCTGGTCAAACTGTACCAACTACAAGAGCAGGGTATATTGGTTTTTCTTAGATCGTATGCTAACGTACTGACTACTTATAGTTACTAAAACTTGTTATACTTATTTTTCAGGATAAACACAACAGTATCAAATCCTCAATGGCAATCTAAAACAACTTCAGTTGTATATGCACAGCCACAAAGACATCCAACACCTCCAGTTAGTAGAGTCTCTACGAGACCTCCATCTGCTGTATACAGTGGACAACAACCCCGATTAATTACTCAAACCAATCAAGGAAGATCTGTACAGGCCACTATGGTTACTGGTGTTCCTGGTACTCCGTCCAGATTGATAGCACCTATTCTACAAACAAGTAACAATATTACACGACTTCCAGTTGCACAAAACAGACCTCCAACTGCTCAGGTAGCGAATATTTCGCAAACTTCGCAACCTGGAAGATCATCAACGCAAGCTATTCAAGTAAACTTTTCAACTAACATCACGATATAATATCTGACTTTATGTAACAATAATTATAATTTATATATTTATTATTTTAGCCCAATCAAACAAGCAGATCTCTCAGTACAACAGGTACAGTAAATCGTATAGCTGTGTCAACACCAGTAGTAGGAACAACAAGTAGAATAGGTGGAACAGCTTCTGTCAGTGTCCAACCAACATTGAGCCGACAGTTATCTATTAATACAGCAGCTGGTCCATCAGCTGGTACTGTCAGTCGTATCGTGATACCACAGCAACAGGTAAAAATGTGCTAAAATTTTATTGTAGTAAATTATAAAATAAAATGAAAATTATAATATTTTGATAGGTACAGCAGCAGCAAGGAACAGCACGTGTTGTTCAAACAGTTACTCCTTTATCAAATCTTAATACAGTATCGCGAGTAATTACAACAACAGCGAATACATCAAATGTCACGAGAATACCACAAACTACGACTACAGTTACAAGAATAACTGGAATGTCTTTGCATCCATTACCTTTGGCTCCAGCAAGAACTGCACCAACCCCTGTAAAAGCTACGCAAGCACAAAATATTGGACAAACAGTACAGATAAAACCACCTGTTCAACAAACTGGACTTCGTGTTTCTGCAACTAATACTACTAACAATTCAACTACTAATCCTCCTCAGTCGGTTCAAGGTCAATATCTACATCCACCTCATACCACTACTTATTATTCTTTTGAAACAAGCGGTAAGTGTGACGACCTATCTCAAGTTTTCTTAAATAATAGTCTATTGTATTGTAATCATAAAATATTTTTTATTCCATACAGGTACATATTCTCAATATCGGCAAGCTTCAGTACAGCCTGTAAGATTACTTGTTGAGCCAGGATATGATGAACCTCACAGTAAACCTAATGCATCTCCAAGACCGAGTATACTTAGGAAAAGAGATCATGATACTTCTCCTGTTAAGGGTATTTCTATAAGATATTGTATTTTATTTTATATTTATATTTCTAATAAATTTTTATATCTGATTATATATTATGTCATACCTTTTATATCTTTTATTATTTTTTCTATTGATTATTTTATTCATCTAAATAACTTTCTAATTCTTTAGGTGCAGCTAAAAATTTAGTACCTGTACTTGCTTCTTTACCGTCAGTACCATCGACATCCAGTCCGCCTGGTTCTCCAAGAGATCAAGATGGTGGTGGTTGTCAAAGTTCAGGATCAACTACCGTTTCAGCTACTTCATCTCCTGGTCTTGATGAAGATCCAGAACAATCAAGGATAACAATTAATCCAACAATAGAGATGTCACCAAGGAAAAAACCTCGTAAACAACAATTGACAGGCGTTGAATTAACCGAGCCAAGATGTACGGAAGAGGAAATGCAATTTATTACAGAAGAAAAAATAAAAAAAGAAATAAAGGAAGAATCAAAAGAAAAATCAACCGACAAAAGACATATTTCCAATGTACAACGAGATATGAAATCTCCTACACATCCAACATCTATACCTACTATACGAACTCGGCCTACACCGAGCTTATTAGGTTTGTAAATACGCCAATAAATTACGAAATAGTTTAATAATTGATATATTTGTCAAATCATATTCCTGATGTTAATGATTTATATTTATTAATTTTATTAAGGCTCCTCTTGGAAAAATAGATGGGGTGGCAGACTTCACCATTACAGAAGACCTAGTGACGTACGACCTCGTGAAGAAAGGAGACCGTCAGTAGCAGAATTGGCACAACAAAAACATGTTCTGCAAAAATTAAATGGATGGAAAGTTTATCATCTTACGGCACAAATGGAAGATATTGCTGAACTTGAAAAACAGGTAGATATATTTGTTTTATTTCGACGAATTCAATATTTAATTAAATCAATTGATAATTTAATTTAAATAATTAAATTGAAAATATCTTGTTATATTTCTTAAATCTTTATCGTGTTATTTAGGTACATGAAAAATTGAAAACAACACTGACAATACTTGAGTCTCAACAAACTATTAAAAGTAGACAAGACGATGGACTCGAACGTGTAAATGAACTCATTAAAGGAAATATGCAGCGTAGTAGTTTGATCAGCGAAGGAATGAACGAAGCACGCACGCAACTCATTGCTATTTTTCAACACAAAGGACCTATCACGGATATTTTACAACGTTGTGGAAATAAGCGTGCTCAAAAGAAGAGGGATAAATGAGCTATTATGCTGATCAAATTAGGAGAAAAGCACTTTAAGGAACCTATGTACACATAAGGTTCGAAAGGGAGTTATTTTTATCTGTGTCACAGAATCTACATTATAGAAGTAAAATAAATGGTTTTATAAGTCTAAGTGACATAATCGTCGCTAATATGTTTATAATTTTATTATAAAAATCTCTGATGTTTTTATTTTAATACAGTACTTCTTAATCCTCCACTTGCTAAAAAGTTTCGTTTATATTTTATATTCTCACTCCAATGAATTCACGTTAAATATAGACAAGTATATAACAGGAAAAATATACTCTATGTAAGTGTTAAATGAGTAAACTTTTTGTTGTACAAAAGAAAAAAAAAAGTGGTTTCGAACTGGAAATATGAAAATAGATGCGCGCGCGCGCACACACTTTTATTTACTGTGCGCGCGCGCATGAAGAAGCGCGTGTGAAACTCTGAAAAAAATTTCATATGTATTTCTATGGCAACTAAACATTGTCAATTTTGGCTCATATCCATAACAGTAATAATCCTTATTACCATACATTTATACTGCATTTTAGGACAGCGTGTGTGTTGAGAAAGTAGTGAAAAACGCAGAAAAATAAAATAAAATGTGGTGGGGATATAGTGCTCCATTAGACTTACAATGTGAAATTGAAGAAAAGGAAGTAACACCTAAATCTCTTGAAGTATTGATCATAGGTGCTTCTGATGCAAGACATATTATAAAGACATTAGCGTCCTCTTATAAACACTCTGATTGTTCTATTATTTATCATATAATCGAACCAACAATGGAACAAGTTGCTAGATCAATACTTTTATTAAGCACTTGTTTGGATAAAGATTTAGGTATGTATATGTCCAATCTAAGAAGTTTGTCATAATAGCAATTATGATAATATTATGTGAAGGAATGAATATACCTAAGGACTGCAAGAAGCAACTCGATATTACTTGGAAATTATGGGAAATACACTTTTAAGACCTGCTACGGCTAAATATTTGGCAAAACATTCTAAATTATTGGCAGATACTGTAACTCAAACCATTGATTGTCCTTGGCTAAATCTGGAAAAACTTAAACATAAGGACAGAGATCAGTTAGAATGGATATTTAAGTGAGTCCTTTATTACATGAGAATAGATACTGCGTTAATACACAATTATATTTATTAAAAAATCATCCTCTTATATATTAAACCTATCTTATATAAGATTTTGGGAACGTGCTACGCGCGAAGGGGTTCCAATTGTGGATTATTGGGACAAAAGAATTAGAAAATCATTAAAAACACGATATGACTACAGGGATGGAGTTTTTGATTGGGATTATCACATGATATTAAAACCAAGAGGTCATTCAAATTTAACTGTACATGAATATAGGTATGTTTGACAAGAAAAATATTTTTTAATGCAAGATATTTAATCCAATAAATGATTATGATGCAAATCAAAGAATAGATATATAATTATGTTTTGCTTTATATGTGAATCAGATTTTGGAGAAATAATGGAATAGCATTCACTTGGATAGAAGGTGAACCTGCTAGAAGTAATCCAACACTTTTAAATAATATAATTCCTCTTGGAGATGGATTTTTACATTATGCTTATTTGGGGGATATAACTAATGGACCTTTTTTTACATGGGCTTTAAATGAGGATAAAGAAAATATGTAAGATATAATAAAATCTTTTTGTAAACGATATCCTTTAACATAATACAAATTTTCATTACGTAGAAAGCTCAGAGCAACTGATATAGCAGAAAGAGAAGTAATGCGTACTATTCACGAAATTAGAACAAAGGAACCTTTTTGTGATGAACTCGTTGCCGCACATAGAGATCCATCTATATTAAATGGTATAATAATAACAGAAATGCCAAGCTCTGAAATAGAATATGAATCATGGGTAAAATATGATAAATATGAAAAACAAGGTGTTACTTGGATATCTATTCCTAATACAAAGGTATAAAAGGTTAATTATTTTAAATGCAAAAGTAAATATATTGAACGATGTCACTTTCAGATTTTATTCCATCCATTGTCGACATTGGAATTATTTAAAAATAGAGCAGAGTACAAAGAGAAATTTGATATAATTTGGATAGCACATAATATGACCAAACAATTATCTAATGTAGTACCATTGTTGAAAAGAAAAGGACATATACTAATCGAATTACGTAAATACTTAAGTGAATTACGTAAAGAAGATTTGGAAAGTTTTACCAAAGAATTAAAAAGTACTGCACAAGCATGTGGACTGCGAGAAATGAAAAATTTCAATTCTGAAAATCATACTATAGCACAATTTTGCAATAATTAATAATGATTGTAATAAATTATTTCCTAACCTGCACCATAATAAGTTACATTGACACAAATTAATATAACGACTAGTCTAACATGTTTCTGTTTTTCCTTTTCTCTCATTTTTTTTTCCTTTTTCTTTTATTTGTAATCGTAATAAAACATTAAATGCCACTATGCATATACATATATTTACTTTGACGAAACTAAATTTTATTTATTCCATACATATTACATGTACACATTATTTACTCCATACATATTACATGTACACATTATATACACTTTACATTGAAAATCTTGAAAAGCTCTGTTAATTCGATCAATAAAAGTATACATTTTTTTTTTTTCAAATTATGAAAATAAAAAAAAAAGAAAAAAAAAAACTTAACCAACAAAATTAAACTAAATCGTATGACGTATTATGGAAAATAATCCTCTTCAAGGATGTAATAAATAATAACCAATCAAGACCATTGATTTGTGTTTACTGTTTGTATAACCGTCCAATGGAAATATCGAACTATTACCAACATGATGTTTCCATGAAAGATCAACTTACAAATAGCATAGCGTCAATTAAATGAATGAACACGTCTATGTGGATCAACCGAAATCGCGGGAAACGCGTTCTGTTCCATTAGTCCCGTAGGGGTAATTTGTATTTTCTTAATATTAACAATAAACATTATATAGAGATTTTTCTTCTGCACCTCGTGAAGCTCCTTGTGCGATACATATTGATACTTTTACACCGAATGAAGGACCCTAAACGAATCGTGAATAATAAGGTAATCCTTGAAAATCGGCCATTGCGACTATTTTCAGCGGTAATAGAAAATTGTTTTCGATTTCTAAGCTCTTTAGAAAGCATTTTTAGTGTTTTAACTTTTACTAACAGTTGTAGAAATTTACAAAGTACCATCGTTTTGTCACAGAATCGAGTTATATAGCTTAAAATGATAATTTAACAATTAAGCTATGAGCTCTCCCAGCCTCCCACGGAATAACAAGGTGGCCGAAACAGCAAACGATGCAGGACAAAGCATACGCGAGAAAGTAGAAAGTTTCCATGATGCAGCAGACTGTGTGGATCATGCTGGAGAAAAGTCTGATCTAAACGATAGTGCATATTTTCCTGGCAAAAGTCGTTATGGAAGAACAATAAAGCCTAAATCTCCTAGAGATGACATTGCTGAATTTCCTAAGGTACACGAATTTCATACTTTTGGATAAATTTCAGTTTGTACAATAGACGCTTATGATGGCTTTTGCTTATCTTACGTAAAATCTTTAAATATACGAAATATTTATCATATTATCTCATTTTATAGAATTACAAAATGCCAAAGACGCGTAAATCTCAAAACTCTAGTGAAAATAGTAACGAAAATATAGACGAAAGTAATATAGTGAATGATACTGATGAAGCAAGTGATTCATTTAGTTCTTCGAATTCTATGGAGGAGATTGCATCTCCAAAATTCGACAATAATACTGCACAGTGTAATTGGAGTTTAGGACAATTAGCATGGGCACGTGTTGGCAATTTTCCATTTTGGCCATGTGTTGTAACTCTAGATCCAACTTCATTAATTTTTTATAAATATAAAGGTAAACATTGTTTTCAATGTGTTACATGTTTTAAATAATAATACATAACATTTATTTATAGAATGAATAGATCTTTTCAATCTAAACACCATGTTTAAATGACTTTTTTAACCAGCTACTGGCAGATCACAATTGCTAATGATACACGTTCAATATTTTGGAGATAAAGGACGTCATAGCTGGGTCTCATCAAATTCTATGATCCATTTCACAAACCTTGATGACTTTCAAAAGCTATCTGAATCATTGACTGCAGAAATTAAGAGGAAGGACGCTAAATATGCTGCAGCATTTGTTATTAAGCCAGGATTAAAGATAAAGTGGGAAACAGCGGTTGAAGAGGCAACGGAAGTACAACCAATGACTGATCAAGAAAGGGCTGATATATTTAAACCAATTGTTAAAAGTTCAAGGCAAAAAGTTCAGAAGACACTTGATTTTTATGTAAAGGGTAAGACGAGTAAAAGAAAATACGCAGGTGATCCGAATACATCAGATGCAAAGCGTACTAAACAGGAAAGTGTAAGTTAAATAAATAAATAAACATAGCATGATGAAACATTATATAACACATACATCATTATAATTATATCTGTACGTATATAGGTAACATTAAAAATGTTGCTTTTATATTTTTAGGTGGATGTTTCAGAGAAATTACAATATAAATTAGAATCACCAAAATTAAGGTATTTGCAACATGAAAATGGAAAAGCAAATTTGAGATTAAATTTTGAAAGTCCTTCTCGCATATCCGTTAAATCTAACGAATCTAATAGTGATTCTTCGACAACACAAAAAAATGATTTTAAAAGTGATGAACTTGATGGTGTTTTTGAAGTTTATTATGAAAGAAACAGAGATATGTTAGAAGATGAACATCCTGATTTGTCAGAGGAAGAAATCAAAAAATATTTAAGAAAAACTTGGAATGATATGAACTCTTCTTTTCGTAGAAAATATCGTTTATATATTAAATCAGAGGATAATCAATCAAAAGAAAATACACCTGAATCTGAAGAAGACACATCAACGGATGCAGAGAGTATCACAAAAGATATAAAAAAATTAAGTAGAAGTAATACAGTAGAAACAAAAAAAACCAGACCATACAATCTTTTTAAAGGCATGAAACAAGAAAAGGTTTGTCAAATTTGTGAAAAAACAGGAAAGTTAACAAGATGTAGGGGACCCTGTTATTCTTACTTTCATTTATCATGTGTCAAACCTGGAGAATCTAGCCCAGAACATTCTATAGATGAAAGTACGTACAGTGATAAATTGTTTGATGATTTGAGAGAAATAAAAAGAAATAATACAGATGATGAAGAAAATAGTGGTACATATCCATATAAAGTTTATTGGTACATTTAATAATTCAATAAATTAATTTAATTCGATAGTAATATTGATTATTTTTCTTTAGATAAAGCAGAGGAACAAGAAGATGAAAGTTTCAAATGTATTGATTGTTTATCTGGTGTAGCTCCAGCATGTTTTGTATGTAATGAAAGGGAAGGAGACAGAATAAGATGTTCTGTTTTAGCATGTGGCAAACATTATCACTCATCTTGTTTAAAGTCTTGGCCTCAAGTATGAATAAAATAGTTTTTTTTATATTGTTACATTATATTTTTGCTTATAAAAATTGCAAATTTTATATTATTTTTAATTTTTCAGTCTCGTTGGCAAGGAGGTCGTTTAACTTGTCCATATCATATGTGTCATACATGTAGTTCTGATAATCCACAAGATAGTCACTCTCGTGCACCGAATGAAAAAATAGCACGATGTGTTCGATGTCCATCATCCTATCATACATCCATATCGTGTTTACCAGCAGGATCAGTAATATTAACAGGAAGTCAAATTGTTTGTCCTAAGCATTACAAAGCTCCTCATCCTCCATTGAATGCAGCATGGTGTTTCCTTTGCACACGTGGAGGAAGTCTTATTTGTTGTGACACATGTCCGACTTCGTTTCATCTGGAGTGTCTTGGTAATATTACTTCTTTTTTCTTTTTTTTTTTTTTTTTTTTTTTTTTTATCATCTAAATAAAAATACGAAAGAATATTTATTGGTATATTATTCTGAAATTTTCGTTTTGTTATAACAGGTATAAATGCACCGGATGGTGCGTTTATATGCGAAGATTGTGAAACTGGAAGACTTCCTCTCTATGGAGAAGTAGTATGGGTCAAGCTCGGTAATTATCGTTGGTGGCCCTCTCGTATATGCTATCCACATGAAATACCTGAAAATGTAGAAGCTATACCACATAGTCCTGGCAAATTTTGTGTCATGTTTTTAGGTTCTAATAATTATTATTGGGTCCACAGGTAAATATAGATTATTATAAATGTATACGTGCATAATTTTTTTTTATATATACATGTGTTAAGAAAAAAAAAAAAAAATTACATTATATTTTCAGAGGGCGTGCTTTCTTATATCAAGATGGAGATGCAAATATAAAGCCTTCTTCAGTAGGTAAAAGAAAAATGAGAAATGATACTTATAGAAAAGCTTTAGAAGAAGCTAGTGAAATTCATCAACGTTTAAAAACTGAAAGAGCTGCTGCTAAGGATCATGAATCTAAAGGATTGAAACCTCCACCGTATGTTAAATTAAAAGTATGTTCCTATTTTTATAATGAACGATTTTATATAGTTTTATTAGGTGAATATTTTCTCATTGATTAAACATTTGTTTAGGTCAATAAACCTGTGGGCAATGTGAAACCTGTCGAAGTTGAAAGTATTGTAGCATGTGATTGTGATGCAGAATTGGATGATGCATGTGCACCTGGAACAGATTGTTTAAATCGTATTTTATTGATAGAGTGTAGTCCAGGTGTATGCCCAGCTGGTACGAAGTGTAATAATCAAGACTTTGTACGCAGACAATATCCAGCAATGGAACCATTTCATACAGTTGGCCGCGGTTGGGGTCTTAGAAGTTTGGAAGCTATTAAATCTGGACAATTTATAATCGAATATGTTGGCGAAGTTATAGATGAAGCAGAATACAAAGAGAGATTAAGTAGAAAAAAAGAGTTAAAAAATGAAAATTTCTACTTTTTAACAATAGATAATAATAGAATGATCGATGCAGAACCAAAGGGCAATCTTAGCCGATTCATGAGTAAGTTTCTCTTTATTTTTATTTTTTTTTATTTTTTTTTGTAAGAGTACATTGTAATTAAAAGATAAATGTATAATTTCTTTTTCTTTTATACATAGATCATTCTTGCTCGCCAAATTGTGAAACACAAAAATGGACAGTAAATGGAGATACGCGGATTGGTTTATTCGCTTTGCGTGATATAAAGCCGAGAGAAGAGTTAACTTTTAATTATAATTTAGCTTGCGATGGGGAAACACGTAAGGCATGTTTATGCGGTGCATCAAATTGTAGTGGATTTATAGGTTTAAAAGTACAAAAACCACAAGTAACTCCAGTTCCAGTACCATCTAAAAAATCT